TCTGATATTCGGCGTATATCGTAAAAATGAACGCAACGATCTGTAAAATTTTAATCGCCAAATAATCTCATAAAATTGTCAAATTCATTTAAAAAAAACTGAGTTTATCATGAAATATATGAAAAAAAAAAACACAGCCGACGAGAAGAAAAGTAAGGAAAAGTAATTTTTGATAAAAAAAAAATAATAAAAATACCAGCTGTGCCGAACACAAGAAAGTTTCGCTGCGTTGGACTGAAATTAACCGAGCAAATATTGAATTTTACATTAATTGTTGCCACCGAACGCTCCGAATTCAGCGACCATAACTTTACCTACAATGAATAATTTGCTTAAGTTGTAAAATTAAGTCAGTATATCTTTTGGGTCTACTGGCTTGCCCTGTTGAGTTTCTGACTAGCCCAGGCGTTCCTTCAACTAGCCCGGTGCTCCAGGGTATCGAGTCGGGTCGTTGGCTCCTCGGCGATAACTTGGGGTAGCAGTGGGGGCCTCGTCTTTCGTAAGTCGGCCACAAAACCACAGCGCTACGAGCGGTCGATATTCCACTGGATCGACACACTCCTCTGGATCATCACTACTTTACAATACAGATACGGGGGCCTTATATAAGTCGCTTTCGCGCCAGTACACGACCTATCTAGGAGGGAGTCATGATGCAACATATCCTGGTTGATTTTAAAAAATTTTATGAAATGATTGATAAAGCTCGTTGAGGAAACTAACCGCTTCAAAAAAAAAGCATAACGCAAAAAGCAACACTAACCGTTCCATCATCGGATCCGGAAGCCATCAAATGTGAATCAACATTATTGAACTGTACTGACCAACATCGCTTCTCGTGTTCCTGTCATCACAAAGGCACTTAGAAATCGAATACGAATACAGGCACAAATAAGAAATCAGTAAACTATTGTTGAAGAAAAATTTATTATTTACCTGATATCGTTTGATTGAACGCTGAGCGGAAACGTCCCAGATTTGTACAGTTCCATCGTAATCACTATTTGAAAGCATATTTTTGCAGTACGGATTCCAGGAAACATTGCTGAAAGTAAAAACCCATCTCGGCAAATACGTGAAAGAATTGACATATTGAAATGAAAGAATTGAAAGAAAAGAATTGAAAAATTGAAAAAAAGAAT